TCTTGCGAGTCTGCGCCCGCCCCCTGCTTGTTTCATTCCTGTTAAACAAGTATATTTTTTAAATAAGATAAAAAAATAATTTATATTTATTGTGTTAATTTATATTAAAAAATAAAAATACCAAATGTCGTATTTTTCCATTATCTATAAATGGATATCACATTTGAAAGATTTTGAAATACAATTGCAATTTATCTCTTTTTACCCTTTTCTTAATTTTTGTAATTTCAATTTTTAATTGGGTTGGCAATTTTTTTGATTGTATGGTAAAATATTATGACTTTAAATATAGATTTTTATAATTATTTTGTCATAATTAAAAAATAACAAAAATTAATTGTAGATTATATTTAATAAATAAATATATAAAAATAAAATAAATAGTTTAAGTTGATTTGAGTTGGAAATAAAAATAATTTGAGTTGTAAAGTTAGTTGTGTAGATAAAATAAAGAAATATTTGTAATTATTATGTTGAGTTGGGAATAAATATGACCTTCAATGTGAGAAGAAGAAAAAAAAATGAAAAAGAGTTGTACTTCTTTTGTCCATACAAAGAAAGAAAAAAGGAAAGAAAATATCATTAATGTTTATTATATTCACATATCAATGCGACCTAAAAAACTGTTCCTCTTCTCATTAAGAAATTATCTTCAACTGCAAAACAGAGGCGAAAGTCCAAATTTGGAGATTAGTGAGTTTTTGGATTTAGATCGGAGAGTGAGAAGGCATCAAACATGTGCTGTGATGGAGATTGCCGGCCTTTGGGCTTTCTGTTGGGCCTTCCTTTTGCTCTTCTCTCTCTCGTTATCTCCATCGTCGGCATAGCCATCTGGATTGTTGGGTTAGCTTTTCTTTCTTTCTTCTTCTTAATTCTTATTTTTTCATTGATATTGATCATGATTTGTATTATTTGTGTATGTATAGGTTATTGTTGAGCTGTATATGCCCGTGTTGTCTGTGCGTGACGGTGGTGGTTGAGCTGGCGCTTGAGCTCATCAAAGCCCCAATTCATGTTATGGAGTGGTTTACTTCTCAGATCCCTTGCTGACAAGTTTATAATTCTTCTTCTACTTCATTTATTCCTATTATTTTGTTATTGGGGTTTTCGGTTGACTGAGTTTATCCCTATTTTAGATTCTTAGCTGTAATATTCAGGGCTTTTTTTTGGTCTGTTTAATTATCATGTGCGGGCTTTGCATATGATCTATATGCATTCGTCAAGAAAAGTATTAGTTAACGTGATGAGAAAATATTTTGAATTGGCAATAAAAAAAATTGAAATTGGCAATTCAATGAATTAAAAAAAAAAAAAAATCTAGAATGTGAAGTAATATATAAAATCGATTTTGTTGATAGATGAGATATGATTTTTAAAAGAGCATCAAAATTTTGAACAAATTGGATATAAAAGTATATGTATAGTTTGTTTTCTCATTCACCATATATTTTGTTGCACAACATATTTTTTACATTGTACCACACCGCAAAGAAAAATAAGAACACCAAAGAAGTCTACGCTAGTGGAGAACAATCTAAATACCTAAAAGTAAAGAATAAGAATCAAATTTTAGAATGGGTTGACGAGCTAACATCATAGCTTTGGAAATACATTGTTGTGCGGATTCTATATGTACTCAACCCCCCCCCCAAGATTTCTAATTTCTAGTATTTATATATATATATATATAAAAGTGTATCATTCTTCAAATAAACTTACACAATTATGTTAAAATAGTAATTGTATTACTCTTTCTACTAATAATTCAACTACAATTATACTCTTTTGACACTTTTCTATAACATTTTTTTTAATTTAAATAAATTGAATATATAGTAAATATGTGAAAAAATAAAAATTGGTATTTTTTGAAAAAGAAGACCATATAAGATATGCTTGAAAAGAAAAAATATCAAACCATTAGTATGGACTATGGAGGCAATCATTAATGATATTCATGAGTTGAGAGAGTATTCAATGTTAATTTGTTAATGTTAAGGTTTGAAACTTTATAATTTATATTGCACTATTATTATGTATAATTTTATAGTACAACTTCTATTTTTTATGTACAATAAATTAAATTTATGATTATTAAAAAATATATAGTCCCCCCAAAAAAAAATTCTGGATCCGCCCTAGTGCGGAAAATAATAAAGCAAACCTACTGAAATATTGTAAATTTAAATTTGTGCTGAAAATAATAAAACAAACCTAATGGAATATTGTAAATTTAGATTTGCATAACGGCAGAAGTATTGATGTTGGGATAATAGAATGTGCATTGGTAAATTGAAGTATAGCACAAAAAATAAATAAATAGATAACCTACAAATTTGTTAACACCATTCTTAATAAATGAAAAAAAAAGATCAGTATAAAAATAGTATACTCACATATATCCATCCAATTTAAGAGTAATTTTCATAACCTTCAGGAAACACCATTTCAAGTATAACCCTATAGAACTAATAAACGTAATTTTCAGAAAACCGATAAAAATTATTTTATTCATCTCTTAAATATCAACATTATAGACTATCAAGCCCCATCTCCCAATATTATAATTTCAAAACCAAAATACACAGAAATAATTAGAACAAATCAAAATCTACTAAGCCAAGATTCATACCATTCCATAATCACAAACCAAACAATGCATCAGAAAATATAAAAAAATAAAAGATAAAGACATGTATAAACCAGGAAACAAATAAATTTGCACCAAGCAAGACACATATGTTATTGTAACAGTATAGACAATTGTGAATCTTATTGATGTATGAAAACAAAAAAAAATATAGCAATATACCCCTTCATCTTGGTTCCTCACACCCTTAATTGATTCAGAAGTTTTTCCCTCGTCGTTAATCTCCAAAAATGATGCCATGAATAGAAAGAAAAAAAAAAATAATAAAAAATCCAGTTGTTATAACTTATACAAACAAATTATAAAGTACCAAGCACCTGGAAAAATAATAAGCTGAAACTATACATAGATATAAAACGTAATCCTCCATTATACTTTTCTATTATACTGTTCAGTGAAAAAACTTGTGATTTATTTTTTTACTACCTAACATTTCTTCTTCTCGGATCATAGTTTTGATTCGCCTTGTCTGCAGCCCCTTGTTTTTAGGGAAGAAAAGGTAGTGAGATGCTTGCTGGATTTGCTTCCACACTACGATATGATAGGTACATAGAAAATAGAAGTACGGTAAGTTAAAAAAAATATCACAAATTTTCAAGCTTAGATACAAACATGTCCTTAACATACTGAAATGATGACCTATAGAAGTCGTGGCCCATGAGAAAATATACAACAATCTCAACACGATGACCAACAATCCTCACGCTTGAACTTGACCCTACTCTTAAGTTTTCTGCACGAGTAAGTAGAAAATAATTTGAATGTTCAGCCCAACTTTTTTCACATACATACAAGTAAACAAATAAAAGATACCAACTTGATATGCTTGAAATAAAAAAAAAAGTTGTAAACCAATGTATATATAAAAAGAAAATAAAAAAATTACCTTCGCAGGATATTGATTGAAATAATCCATGGCAAGCTGCCAAGAAAAATAATCTCAAAACTCATGAAATGAAAAAAACATGTCGTAGAAAATAATAATTGATTCGAGTCAATGCACAGATATACTGTCAAAATATCTAGGGAGTTTTTTTTTATCATATTGAAAAGCCATGTTTTAAATACCGTACCGTATCGATCGGTATTACCGGTAATACTGGATTACCGGTGGTCCGACCGGTACGGTTACACTTAAAATACCGTTTTGGCCAAAATACCGGTTTATACCAGTTTCATATCGAAAAATACCAATTTTACCGGCCAAAATACCAGTTTATGCCATTTTTTTTTAAAAAAAAAATTTTTAATATATTTTCATTAATTTATTTATATAAATTGAAAGTTCTACACTGAATTTTAATATGTTTACATTGTTATTAGATGTTAATTAATTTTACTATTAGTTAAAGTTAGTTTTGTACATCATTTATATTATAATAACAAATTAATTTAATATTTATTGAAACCGGTAAAATAGACGGTAATACCCGTTGGCTCGTCCGGTATAATAACCGGTACGGTATTTAAAACACTGTTGAAAAGGTCTCACATGAAGAAAAATATTTTTGTTTGACCAAGAACAAAATTCAAGTTTAAAACAAACTTCAGAGACAGCTCCTAAATGCAGTTAGGCTGACTCAGATTCCAAAAACCATGGAGTGCAGAATGAGCTCAAGATTGAGCTCCAAACACGAGAACAANGTTTGTAAATACTAAATACTCTCTAGCCAATGTAGGTAAAAGTATGGTAGTAAGTTGATGTGCAATCAGAGGTCCAACAATGAACAATGGGTTTTCCACCACCAGATGAATTCCACTTTTTCATCAAATTTCCCTGCCTCTTCTGATATGGTTTTGACATAAGAATACCAAAGGTGCAAACAACAGGATTTTCTTAACAGCGCTAGCTAGATACAACTTTTCCAATACTGAAGAGAAGTTAGATTATTAGAAAATTATAGCCCCGCATTAGATTGGGAAGATAGGAGGAATTTCTTGCACGGAAAGAGTTTTTCGGTATTACGCTTTCAAACTGTTGCTTGATGTAGTTGGATTTCGGTGCTGCGATAGATCAAACAAATCTGATCTGTAAATTTATAGAAAAATAAGTGAAACAAGAGATCAAACCTTACCCATTAAAAAGTAAAAAAATAGTAAAAAATAGGACATCTCTACAGCATGCGTTGTGCATTCACTAATGAAGTAACCAAATCATCAGAAATCTAAGTACGCTAACATAAACTCAAAGTCAGGGTCATCTGTGACAAACTTAATATTTTCAAACTGGACCAAGAAAAATCACATCTTGGATGGGATAACATACACTCCAATTTTTCTCCTCTTTCTTTTTTTCCCAGAACAACTATTTGCATATTATAGATCAAAATTACCTTCAAAGTAGGGATAACTATAGGCGTTCAAATAGAAAAGCCCGAACCGAGGCGGTGGCTTGAACATCTGGCTCTTCATAATAAACCCAACTCTAGAAACCCCATCCAATTAAAAAGATCCTGCCCCGTTGGAAAAATCTGCAGGCTCAGCCTAATATAATATTTCATATTCTATTTTTTGTACGTACATTTAAAGTAGTTAGTTTCTTTATTTATCTCATGTAATGCACACCAGCTATAGTAAACTAAATGTGAGAATGCATGAAGAAAAGTTATGAAACCTTGTGAAGGCAATAAGGAGAGAATTCATAAACTTGAGAACTAAAGCCAGTCCCTGCATCCATTACAAGAGCCCAAAGATTTGAAGAAGACGCCACGCTGCTGATGTATAATCCATCCTCGTTTCCTTCATCAATATGCTGAGCTAGCTTAAAAACCCAGAAGTTATAGTGAAATCTACAAAACCAAATACAAATAAATCCATCATTTCTCTTGAAACCTTAAAGAAAGTTAAAGAATTAGTTCAAAGATACCTTTGTTTCATCGGGCGTCAAGCATTATACACACTAATCCACTGTGTAGCCAGCATCCCCATGTGAACTTTCTTTTTGGGTTGCTTGTAATCAGCATCAGCCCAGCATAAGTCGTCCGTCTTATGCCCCACTTGATATATAAGCTTCAAAATCCACAAATATAAATAAAATGAGAATAAAATAAAACAAAATATTGCACATATGTTCTGTTGACTGAAAAATGACTGTCGATTCTGGGTAGTTATTTTTCCGCCAAGAATGAGTCAATCGTCTCCAGCCACTCCTCTTCTGGATTTCCGACAAACCCTCATAAAACACCTAAACGTGCATGTGAACAAGAAATACGAATCACAAAACATCACAATCCATAGCCACAAAAGCAAACTAACATCCCATCATTGCACCTGCTAATTCAATAACTTTACCATTTTTTATTTTTTAATTAATTTATGATAAAAAGAATATGGGGTAGAAAGAACAAAAATTAGGCACACAACTTTGAGAAACTACAACGATCTACCTTATTGAGCTTCTCGAAGGTGTTGGCCCGGCAGGTTTCCAGTCCTTAATCCTTCCCAGCGACGTTGCTTATCCACGATGGCCACCCCTCGCTGACACTGGAAATGCCCATCCTATATTAGTACCCCGATATCGCTGACGCTGAAGACGGGAACGGAACCTTTTCTATCTTCTTCCACTTCCCTCTTGCCGACACTTCATTTTCTACCGGGGCGATGGTAGATTCTTAAATTCTGAAGAGAAGAGTACGTGGTAGGGCCTGAATGGAGGAAATTAGAAAAAGAAGATGAAAAAACAGTCTTTACCAACAAAAAACATTAACAGAAACAAAACCCACACAAAACTAATGAGCAAAAAAATAAAAATCACACGAACAAACAAGAAGCGAAAAAGACAATTGCAATGAGTTAAATAAAGGGAAACAAAAAAGACACCTTCGTAATTGCATTTCTTGAGCATCTTCTCAAGAATCTTCAACCTCGTGGGATCGCCATCCACCACAAGAACCCGCAGGCCCGCTGAAAACACTCCGACATCGGCGAAGAAAACCCACTTGGCTCAAACAAAAATAATAAACACTGAAAAATTCTTTTCTAGAGGATAGAGAAACATAATATCCCATAATCCAAACCTCCGGGATCGATAATGTGAACTTGTCATCTTCTTCTCTGATGTTAAGTTGTAATTTAGCTTATACATCTGCGTGTTCCTACACCCTTTCCTCGTCAAGGGCTCTTGCTCTCATTTCAATGTCAGACACGTCAGAATTTGAATATGAATCTGCACCAGCACCAGCAACAGCACCAGCACCAGCACCAGCTTCCTCCTCTACACAAAAAATGAGTATGAGTACACATCATAATAGATGTAAAGCAATGCAGAGAATGATCCTCATAAGCTAATTAACATTAAAAAAAAGCACTGGAAAAGGAAGAAGTACCTTTATCATCTTCATCCTCACTTCTGAGGAGTATATCATGGGCAAAAGGATCGTAACGACATTTCTGAAGAAGAGTCGCGTTATCGTGTTCTTCCACATCAGATTCTTGAAGCTCTTCAGGTTCACAACTGCCATCCAAATCAAAACTAAATTCTGCTTTTTGCTTCTTCAATGGAAGAGGATCTAACAATTTAGCACCTTTCTTTTTCTTATTGGGCAGAGAACCAGCCATTTAACTGCATAAAAATGTTATCTTCGAAAATTATCTCACTTCATATACAATAGAAGAGAATAAAATTTACAATTTCACCAAGAATATATGTTGACAATACTCTCAATCAACTATGAACAGCCTGGTAGACTATGACTGATAACCAGTCAACCGCGTCGACCGCAATTCACCAAACAGAAGTCCAGTAAACATCATTATTGAACAAAAAGATCACAAAATTGCATTAACAAGCTAAAACGAAGAGAATTTCGCAAGAAACGAGACCTATTTCAGGAGTTTATCAAATTTATCTTTTTCTTCATTTTTTTTCTGCTAGCAACACACGCACAAAAGGAACAAGAACAAAAAAGATATATAAAAGAAAAAGACAGAGCAAAAATAAGATGAAGGTCGGTACCTGGACTGCTTTAAATAAGTCAGACCAATTTGAATGCCCCTTTTTTTTTTCCACAAGAAGCCGAAGACGGACTAAAAGTAGATAAGGAAATAAAAATAAACCCACCTCAGACTTTAAGGCCAAGTGTTTCAAACTATTTTCCATACTGCTTTCTGGATTTTGTTGATTCATAAAAACCATTTTCCCATACACAAGTAAGCAAGCAGATCTAACCATTACTGTTGCCCGAAAGTAATTCTTCAAAATAATCGATCTTGCTAGCTCTATACTCTTACACTTGCTATTTCAAGTTTATAGCAAAATGAATAATGCATTGCAAATATAAATACGAAAGTATGAACGAAGAAAATTTGAGAAAGAATAAAATACTTACCTTTGACCTAAGCAAGTCGATAGTTTCTGGGGACAACAATTATTAATTTGAACCCCGCCGATGGAGGGCCGAAAACGGCCGTATGTCTTATAGGCTCGATGACCTTAGCGGCGTCGGCCGCCTCCTCTTTGGGAACGGTGCCGTAGCGCTCGGCCAAGATGGAGGGGGAGGAGAGGGTCTCAATAAGGCAGTGCTTGATGGCGTCGCGCGTGCGTTCACTTTGGGGCCAGATGCTGAATGAGATGTTGGAGAGCTTCTCCACGACGGAGATGGTAGTGTTGTCGGACTGAGGCAACGGTAGTTCGGTATCGGCCATGGTGGTGGAGAATGAGGGGTTTGGGGATTCTGAATTGGAGTTTCTTGGGTAATGGAATTGATTGTCAACTTTTCTGAGCAAAGTTGCGTGTTGCAGGAGGAAAAAAAATGGGTGTTGCTAAATACCGCACCCTTTTTGCTAAATACCGCACTCCAATTTACATTTTTGCCCTTTTTATATAAAAAAAAAAAAAAAAATAT